GAGCTTTCAGATTCTCGAAGAAAGATAAACCATTTTTCGCCCAACAGATTTTATATCCATTTGCTTCTTTAAATAACTTCGCTTCACGCAAAAGAGTTTGCAACCGAGGACTTAAGTGGTCATAAAGTTGTAGCCCTTCCAATGATAATTGTTCATGGAAGCCAACATCACTAGGAGAGATCTTAAATACATTCTTTCGCGCAGCCATAACCTTTTCCTTTGAAATTCGCCTGGTAAATTTACAAATGATTGGATTAGGTTTGTTCGGGAAATTTCTTCTCGTTGGTACCCGGTGGGCAATATAAATATCATAGGGAGAAATATCTTTTACACCTAGAGCTGTAAATAGATCTAGACGTAGGCAAATCTCAACTGTTTCGTCAGCTCTTTCATGCTCGCTGACTACAGGCATACCAACTATTTTCACATTGTAATTGAAGCTATAGTCTTCTATCGCCGCTATAGCATTTGAAATTTCTGTATACTTCTTCGATACTTCTTTTATTTCAGCTTTTATCTGGTCAAGTTCCTTCAGGACTTGATCATACTGATTACTGAGGAATTCAACGGATTTCTTTTTCTCAGACGACAAAAGTTCTTCTTGCTCGCCTGATCGGCCATTAGCACTGCTCGCTTCTTTCGTCGACAAGACATTTTGACTTAAATTATCCACTTTTCCCACCTTCATTCTCTTCCTTTAAACGTTTAATATCTGCATTTTTAGACATTGCTAATAGTAATATAAAGTTATATAAAGCAAAAAAGCTGTGAGTTAAAAAAAGTACGTCCGCTCAGTACGTCCGCTCGCTGATGCTTTCCTTTCTCCGGGTGCAAATAGCCAGGCGGGAATTAGTACCCTCGCTCGGCGCTTCGCGCCGTCGGCTCGGGGATTAATATATTACAATTAAGCATTATATAGGCACTACAGCCATTAGAGCAAACGTAATATATGCATGATTATCTTCGACTTTAATTTCGTCCCCAGCTGATCAAATACTTCATTGAATGATGGTGGAAAACCCAGAAAAGCTCACCCAACTATGATTTCTATTTTATTGAGGCACCGTAGGCGTACTGAGAAAAAAAGAGAACTAAAGTTACAAACAAGTATCATTTCCGCGAGTAAGAAATTACTGAAGTTTCAAACATGCAATAACATGCCTTATTTTTCACCCTGCTCAGTTTCCTTTGTTCTTATCGGGGAATATATTCAATATTCCCCTCTAATCAATTTCCGTTTAATAATCCCCTCTAATATTACCTGCAATGTATTTGCGGCACAAAAAATGAGAAAATACAACATAACGAAGGCAATATGGCATTAAGAATTCTTTCTATTCTGACTCATTAACGCTACCTTGCAATGTGAAAAATAAGTACGTTATTTTGAGGCACCTCGGGGATATGTGTATTTACCTCGGCGCTGCGCGCCTCGGTGAATAAATCACATATCCCCTCGTTGCCTCAAAATAACCTACACTTATTATCATTAACAGCATTGCTGCAAAAAAAATCGTGGATGGAATTACCTTGTACCCGGAGGAAATGGCGCATTAAGACCGCGTTAATCTACGGCCACCCCCCGTTAATTCCCCGCCCTGTTCTGCACGCAATGACTGAAAATTGCAATTTTCGCAAGGCTATATTATCCGCAATTTACAACATTTCGCAACGAAACTTTGGAATATATATTACTAATTTTGTGATGCTCTTTCAAGCTGTGATGAAATTTTTCTCTAGACCAAAATTTAGTCTATAATGCAAATGGTCCATTTTCAGCTTGGGCATGCCGCATGCCGGAAAACGTCGCCTACTCTGATAAGGATACTTAAATCTGTCAAAGCCCATATTATGGACAACTCAAGTACGCTTCAACACACAATCAGTAAACTGATTTCGCAGACGTCACATGTGCATGATTCTTGGTTCACTAAATAAAACACAATCAAGCGCATCAACCAGTAATTTAATTAATCAATTGGTGAGAATCCGAAGCTGCAATATGTCATGCATGGACAATGTCAATGATTCATTTTTACACTGATACAGTTGTAGAGAAATACACGCAAAAAGGTCAGGAAATATTAAAATATTATTATTAATAAACGAATGCTGAGTAGACAGAGTATAGCGACGCAATGTTTCGAAATCACCAAATTGCTCAAGCAAAAATTCAAAAGTATGTTCGCAAGGTTTCGTTACAAAATATCTTAATTTACAATATAATTAATAATTATACGAGCATATAATTGAAAATCAATTCTTCGGAGCAACATATAGACACGCAAATTGTGTTTTAAAATCGGAAAATTACTGAAACAAATTCAATAGTAGCTAGGCTATATTCTTAAATTTTGGTTGGCAAACATCCAAACATATTTACCTAACATATTTATTTACAGTATAATTAATAATGTATATACAAAGAATCAAGTGGTATTTCCAAAGAAACATTTGGGCTTTACATACGGCCGCAGCCTAAAAAAGTTGCGAACAGCTAATGCGTTTATACGGTATTGTTGAAAATTTCACTTGTTGAAAATTACTCGGATACGTGTTAGTCGCAAGCATTCGTATAAACGACTCAAAACTCAACAAACTACGTATCGCTGTCGCATCGCAATCATTGAAACACCCTTGATCAATATATAGGGTAGAGCCGTTCATGCAGTTAACAGTAATTCGCGGCCTAAATAAGTCGCGAAGATCGCTGTATAAACGCGGCTAATTCATTCATTATTTAAGTTTACAGTAACAACACAGAGTATCCTTGATCTATCAGCAACCTACTTTTTATTATACAATATTGAATAGTGAGACAGCTTTTAACGATATTATTTGCCTAAACATTTTAACGATCGGTTTAATTAATTCTAGCGACTCGAGAGACAAAAATGTTTGATCAAACGTTCGTTTCACAACCGCAAAACATTGAGGTTATTTGGCGCGAAAAATCAAAACAGTTACTGTTCGAAATACCGAGTTTTCACATTTCAGAGGTTTTCAAAGACTTAAGAAGTACTTTTAAGTACTATTCACTGCTGTTCAAGTGTCTTATTGGAGTTTTTAACTACAACGTATGTTAGTATCTTTGACACCTCTTCAAAGTGGACGCCACTAGCTATCGAATATCACGTTTCCAAACAGACATCCAACGCTTAAACTCGAGTATTTTAACTCTTTAGTTATGTTACTTTACTTTACTTTACTTTACTTTACTTTACTTTACTTTACTTTACTTTACTTTACTTTACCTTTTCTTTACTCTTTCTTTACGTTAAGAACCGTTTGGTTCTTCATGCACTACGAAAATGTTTTAATATAAACTTATGGCGTCCATATTAATCGCCCAAACCCTTCTAAAAACACAAAAAAACCTCGCGTGTTCTGTTATCACATGACCGGAAATAAATGTTACCGCAAATGAATGTCACCGGAAGACACGGTAGCCACACCGGCCCCTAAATCGATTGTAACACGACAAAGTATTTACATTAATATCAAGCTACCGATTTATATTTATGAACTTATCTGTCTATTACGTCCACTGAACTAGTCTTCTCTGGAGTTTCTGAATCATACTCTTTCCGCCGTTTGCTCTGGAATAACTTCTCCGTCCATTTCCAGCACGCACAATTTAGTTACAGGTCGCGTCAATACCGTGGTACTTGTATTACATTCCTCATTTCGTTTTCGTTTCGCTAGCTCTTGTCGCTACGGTTGAACTTGTTCTCACCTTCACTGTTCGAACGTATCCATCTTTACTTAATTCCGCCTTTTCAACCACTGCCAACGGCCACTGTCCGCGTGGATATGCTTCGTCAGCAAGTAAAACTACGTCGTCAGCTTTCAGATTTTCCTTTGGGGAATTCCATTTTCTTCTTTCCATTAATGTCGGCAGATACTCCTTCGTCCACCGTCGCCAAAATAGGTTTGCAAGATATTGTCTCCTGTCTCCATGCACGCTTACTGTGCAAATCCTCCTTGCAAAATACACCAGGGGGTAAACTTGGATTTGGTCGCAAATGCAGCAGATGGTTTGGCGTCAGTGGTTCCAAATCCGAAGGGCTATCGCTATTTCTTGGTAGAGGACGAGAGTTCAAAATGTTCATCGCCTCCACTATCACAGTAAGTAGCACTTCATCTGTAACTAGTTGTTCTCTGAGGACTGCCAGTAGTATCTGTCTCACTGATCTGATCATTCTTTCCCATACTCCGCCCTACTCTGTTGGCGGGTTCAAGATCCACCGAATACTTCTTCGTAAGCAAAACATGCTGATTCTCTCATCGTTCCATTGTTAGATCTATGCATTCCGACAATTCCTTATTAGCGCTAACGAAATTTGTTCCACGATCACACCTTATTTCCTCCGGACACCCACGAATACTTATGAATCTTCTCAGCGCGTTTAACATGGAATCAGAATCTAGTGAGTGTGCTATTTCAATATGAACAGCACGGGTTGTGAAACAAGTAAAGATACACCCATATCTCTTCACCGTCGACCGTCTTTGTTTGACTTGGAGTGGGCCAAAATAGTCAACGCCTACACAGGTAAATGGCGGTTTGTTCGGCGTAAGTCTAGTTTCTGGTAAATTTGCCATAAACTGTTCACTTAGTTTTGCCCTGCTTCGCTGGCAATTCACGCATGACTTAATAACTCGTTTCACCGCTGCTCTCCCTTTAATAATCCAAAATTTCTTTCTGATCGAAGATAGCACCGATTCTTGTCCCATATGACCTACTTCGGAATGATGCTGGCGAATAACCATCTCGGTTACTCGATGATTGGAAGGTAAAATAATAGGATGCTTCGACTCGTTATCTATACAAGCGTCGGTCAGTCTTCCTCCGACTCTTAGAAGACCTTCTTCCACGAATGGATTTAACTGGCGAAAGGCTGATCCTTTCTTCTTTGGTAATTTCTTTGATTTTTTCTGGTTCCCTTGGGATGTAACAGTTTTCAGTTCATCTGGAAACTCTACTATTTGCACTCGTTGCAGGATTACTTTCTCTGCTTCATTCAGCTCATCCAAGGGTAATTGTCTTGGCAATGTTTCTTCTTCATTTTTGTGTGATTCCCTTTCTGCTGTGACGATTTTCTTTAGCTGTAGCTTCGCCCGAAGGTGTTCACTCAAACGCATCAACCAGGCTACCGCACGCCTCAACTTCCACCAACAAGAAAAGTATGAAATCAGCCTTTCCAAGGCATGAATACTGGTGGTGGCTGTGTAAATCCGAGCTTCTTTCCTAACTTCTGGATCGTTTTCTTTCATAGTTGGTATCTCTCTCGTCTGCGGCCATTGGTCTTCGTTCTTCCATAAAAATTCAGGACCTTGCAGCCAACGATTGTTCTTTATCAAATTGTCCAACTTAGGACCCTTTGATCCATCGTCAGCTGGATTTTCTTCTCTATTAAGGTTACAGAACACCTTTGAGTGTTAATTTTGCCTAATTTTTTTTATTGGTTTCCATGAAAGCATTAGACTAGTTCTACTATCTGACCAAGTTTGGACGAAACATGTTGAAAACTCGCAAAGTTATTAATAAAAATAATTTTGCTGCAATAAGAAAAATGACATTGAAAATGTAATATTCAAATTCAATTTTCTCGCGAAGAAATTTACGGCAATTATTGATTTTTAAACGAGTTGTGCTCGTGCGGGTTTTAACGAATTTTTCTCAAA